CAGGATGCCTGTGGCCTGGGCTCAGTGACAGCAGCAGCAGAAGTAATGGACAGGTGGGTGGACTCCTCCACCCTGCCTAGTACCTTAGGAGCAGATAGGCAGGAATCTCCCTTACCCCACATCACAGCTGTTGCTGCTGCTGGCAGAGCTCCAGCTGAGCCTAGCCCCTATGCAACCTGATTGGAGCATGCAGGAGTAGCTTTGAAGCTTTCTCTACATGAGGGACAGCAAAGAAAGCAGCAATGGTGAACTGGGGAAGGGGAGGGGAGGGGACGTGCAGAGTGACCCCTTTGAGCATGGAGGGGAATTGGGGGATTCTTACCTGCTTTGGGGCCTTTAAAAAAGTCCCCAGAGACTCCTGTGGCACAGTCCAGTCCAAAAGGGGAGGGATGTAGCTAGCCAATGCACCCTCTGTGGATCTGCCCTGGTAGGTTTAGTCAGTTTGCTGCATCATAATAAGAAAATTGTTTCATACCGGGCACGTCTACACAAGATGTTTGCTGCAGAGTAGACTAATTATCTCCACAGTAAACATCTTGGCATCTACACATTAGGCTGCAGGAAACTAATAAATTGCACAGTAGGGTAGTACTTGTAAATGCAAGTACTATCCTGCTGCAGAGTTTTTAGTCTGTAGCACTACATGTGTAGACACTGATGCAGCTGCCTAGAGCACGAGTGTGCTTCAGTACAGGGAATGCCTGCCAGTTAGCCCCACAGTGGAGCACCCTCATGCCCCAGCCAACCCCTCTGCTGCACAATGAGCTGGGTCAGAGCATCCCCGGGCTGGCAGGCTGACCCCCTAGGTCCTCTGCTAGCTGGGGCTGCTCTGACCTGGCTCAACATGTTGCAGTCCTGGTCACATGTAAATGCAGTGCCTGGGAGCAATAAATTCCAGCACAATAAGTGCCAGAGTTTACTGCTCTGCATTAATATGCATGTGTAGACGTGCACACTGTTGAGAATTGTTAAAAGCCAAAAGGTTTTATAAGCAGGGTTCTTTATAATGGGGATGTACTGTATCCTGAAAGTTGTGGGTAGCCCAGCTCATTGGTAATAACATGGGGACCCTGATTGTCAGTAACCAAATGTTAAGACCGGATGGCAGTTAAGTATCAGTAATAAATGTGCACTTTAGTCATGTTCCTAGAGGGAGTTTTGTTTGTCACTGTTTAGGGGCAATAGTATGTTCAGCTTTATGCTTGATTCTGGGTGGGGTTGACTCAACTTGCATATTCTGCACCTTTGAAGATCAAACTTTAACTACCTAAGAGTAAAGTAATTTCAAAATGCTAGATCTCAAAAGAATGCATCTGTTTTTTTTAAATACTATTTATGGCAATGCATTCTTTACATCTCATTACATAAATTGTTTTTTTCCTTTATAATTGAAATAACTTAAAATCTTCATGCATTAATACTTAACAGGATAGTAATAGCACCTATCATATTTACTAACACTGGGCCTTGGTGTCATGATATAACACTGAATCATTCTGGAGGCTTAATGGGTAACAATAAATGGGAGGGGGCTATGGGGCATGTCCACAGTTTTATGTCTATAACTCTCCTTGAGCTAGTAATTCTGAATGCTTTCAGGTATAAAATTAGTTTGGAAATCCTTGCTGAGAACTGTATTACATGAAGTAATGGTTTCAGCCATTTTCAAAACAGCAAGTAGATGACAAGCCAGAGAACTACATGACAACAATGCTGTTCTGCCCGAGTTATTATAGTCTGGTTATACATTTAGGGAAAATTATTTTTGTTTTCAGCCCATTTGGATACTTTTAAAGCTTTTGTTTTTTTCCTTTATTAGAAGTAGATAGCTTGGCATTCTGTTCCACAGAAATGCTCATGAATAAATTTAAAAGATTTTTCTTGAAACTGATGTTCATTGGGTTTCTAATGTGCTACCATCTGATTAGGTGGCTGATTGACTATTGAATTATTTAGTTCATGAAAGTTATTTCTAACAGCTAGGGTTTCTTTGTTTTTTTAACTTTTCTGTAAGTTTAATCAGCAGCTCTCAGCAGAGGTGCTCAACCTTTGTCAGCTGATGAGTCAGCATAAGAATTGAATTACAATGTGAAATTTTATTTTTGCAAAGCTTTTACAATTGAGCTTAGAAGGGAGATAAGGGAGAGGGTAGTGGCTTTTTGGATCAGTTAGGGAAGTTCTGTTTATTGCATAGAAGTAATGTGCAGTACTGTGAAAATACAGTTGTGATTGCTTCCCTGCCCCATGTGTTACCTGGAGGGCTCCATGCTGGGATAGTCCCAGGCAAGGTACAGACAGTCAAAAAGCCTCAGGCTGAATCGATTCAGTCTTTGCAGGTTAGTCTAAACTGCAAAGTTTAAACTGAAACAGAATTGAACAGACATTTACCTTTGATTCAGGAAATGCAGCCACATGCCTGCAGGGGCTCTGACCAGAAGCTCGGGGGCACTAGAGCACAGATCTCTGACTGTATGCTTACTTCCTCTTCCTGCTGCCCCCAAGGTCTCTGGGATTTACAGTCCAAAATTAAAGCAGCAGGACTCTTCAGGTGTGCTCATCACTTCCTCTTCCTGCTTCCAGGTACCTCTGGGATGTGTAGTCCACAGTTGTAGCCAGCCAGCAATAGGTTGGAGTAGGGGAAGGGGTGAGTTTCTGTTCTGTTACAGGTTTAAACCAGTTTCTGATCACTTAAATTGGTTTATGCGTAACTTCTGTCCCAAGCACCAAATTATGCTTGCTTGAAGTTGATGAAGTGGAGAATGGGGAACTAATGGCAGGTTTTAAAAAGGGAAGATATGAACAGAACTATGAGCAAAAATGACTATTGATATATTTTTGCATGTATGCTAAAGATCCAGAGTTTATTATGGGGTGTTTTGTGGCTGCAGTATAGGGGAGGATTAGAGAGGATGTTCTTCTGGAGCTTTTGGGCATATACTTAGTATATGATTATCGGGATTCATGGAGGACTGAGCTTAATAAACTGGGTAATCCCTTTCAGTTCTGTGATTCCTGTTATGCTCTGGGTATTTTTTTACTTGGCACTTCAGGAATTAGAAAATGCTCTCTCTTCTCTCCCCCCCCTCCCCCCCTTTTTTCTCTCTCTCCAGTCTTTTTCTTTAACGGACAATCTGGCTTGTCTCAGCATGTAAGGGAGGGTGTTTTTGCAGTTAGAACAAAAAACTGGAAATAACGTGTTCTGGTTTCTATACCTGGATCTTTCACTGTGAGCTTGGGCGGGTTATTTTAGCTCTTGCTTCCCCCCTACCCCCTCCTTAAAAAACCCCACCATAGAACAAAGACAGTTATACTCCTGTGCATCACAAATTGTCAAATTATTGTCAAATTTATTATTTGACAATAATTAAATATTTGTCAAATTTAATTAACTTTTCCTAATTTATATTTTTATTTGTATATAGAAATCACCCACAGAATTATATATGCACAAATGTATGAGATTTAATGAGGTGCATCTTTTTGGGCACAGAAAAGTAAAATGTGTTTCTATTTACAGTTTAATGTATTAAAAGCTCTCCTTGTTTTTTAGGTAAAGATAGAGTTTTCAATACACCATTGTGTGAACAAGGAATAGTTGGATTTGGTATTGGAGTTGCAGTTACTGGTGCTACAGCCATTGCAGAAATCCAGTTTGCCGACTACATTTTTCCAGCATTTGATCAGGTTAGTTCAGATGGTTTTAGAGAAGTTAAGGGACCCAAACAATGTAAATAGTACTACTGGTAGATGAGAAAGTGAACATCAAAATTTAAGATTTTACTCCCATAATTGCATGTATTTTCACAGTCATGAGTGTTGCCAACATTTACATATGTTTGAGGTAATTGGAAATGTACAAGAGTCAAGTTAAAAGCCAAAAAGAATAGGCTAAAGCAAGGCATATTAGATTAGGTACAGCATGTTCAGTAGAAATGATATGAGAGTGGGATTTAGTAAGCTTGGATTCTGTTTTCAGCTCTGTCACTTGCTTCTTTTTGGATGTTGTTTCAAACCATTATTAGGTAGTGCCTTCCTACCATTTTCTTTTAGAAAAATAGCATGTTTTTGGCAGAGAGGTGAAGAAGAACGTATTATTTTCAGGTTACCTTGCTGTTGACTATAAAGAAACCAGCATTGTAGGATGATCACTGTGTGTTTCTGTACACATAATTTTACACGCTGTTGGCATTAATTTTGATCACGTATAGAAAAGATTTTTGAAATGGTTATTTTTCTCTCTTATGCAGATTGTTAATGAAGCAGCAAAATATCGGTATCGCTCTGGAGATCTCTTCAATTGTGGAAGTCTCACAATACGAGCACCTTGGGGTTGTGTAGGTCATGGTGCATTATATCATTCTCAAAGTCCAGAAGCCTTTTTTGCCCACTGTCCAGGAATAAAGGTGCAGTAAGTTTGGTTTTTTTGTTTGGTTTTTATTTGTTTTTTGGGGAAGGGGGGCCTTAATATTGTCCAACAATCTGAGCAAGCAAGACTAAATGCTGTGTTAGAGAAAGAGACTAACCACTGCTTTTGAGGCTCATTCTGGATTACTTTAAGTCCTAAGCATTTGAATCTAGGCAATTTTGTTTCTGCAGACAGGTGGGAAGAGAGAAGGAATATAAAGGCAGCTAAGGCTTTTAAAATATCCTGAATCATAAATTGAATTCAAATTGGCAGAGAGATAAAGCACATCATTTTTTTAAAAACAGATTATAGATATATTAATTGAAAGCTATGCAAGAGTAGTTTTAACATGGGAAATTAAAATATTCAGCATTTGTACTACCTTAAGTTGTTCCAGATGAATGCACTGGCATTTTATATTAATATGCTGTATTGCTTATAAGACACATTAAAATGGGTTATATGCACTGTGGTCAGTATATGGTAACTGTGGCGACTTGGCTATGCATTTTTATGCATCCATGTTCCCAGCTGTAATGTTGTGTTACAGCCTTCTACTGTAGACGTCTCTTAATGTTTCAGATCCACAGCTTCTAGACTACAATATCTTTTAGAGAAGAAAAGCAAAGAATGATCAACTTCAAACTCCTGTATTCACTTTATTCCAAAAGTGCAGTATGATATTCACATGGTGGAGGGGTGAGGGTGGGACTGACTAGTTTAAGTCAGTATTTCTGTGCTAGGAGATTATTATTTGCTAGCTCTCCATTTTCCTCAAATTGCATTTTTGCATGGGTTACATGACCATCAGTCTTTTGTGTTGAAGAAATTATTCATAGTTTGATTAATGTAATAGCTTTTGAAGCAGGAGACACATTTATATGATGTTAAAAAAAAATCACAGCTGTTTCTTGTTTTGTCTGATCATCTGTATATGACGTTGGTACTTCATGAGCGTCAGATTAGGTATTGTGTTTCTTTCTGGAAATCCTTACCACACCTTTCTCTCCCTTCACCTTAAAAACAAAACAAATGAACCAAATATATTTAAATAAATATATATAGTTCCTGGAAAAATAATGGAGCACATCCTCAAGAAAGCCATTTATATAGTTTGTTTGCAGCTGTGTCAGGGTGGGAATGCATTTTGTGTTTTTATGTTAGGTTTCATTATGATATTCCAGAATTGTTCCAGAGGTTTTCAAGAAATATGCCTGGTTCCACATTTGACATGAAAAACAAATCAAAATTGAAGTGTGTACAATTGTCTGTACAGCCATTTTCAGTGAGACTATATGAGGAGGAGATTGAGGTGCTCCCTGACCTCCAGGTTATTATTTTATATCTTAAACCAGGGGTTGAACGTTGTTGTTGTTGTTGTTGTTGTTGCTGTTGCGCTAGGGAGGACCAAGCAGTGCAGGTGTAGGTGAAAAAAAGCTTTTATGAGCACAGATCAAAGGAATTAACTGTCTGATGTTAAAGAAAAGCCAGACAGCAGTACAGGGATCAAGTAAAGTTGCTCATTACAACAAAGAATGAAATGCTGAAAATAACAAATTCTTAACTTCAAGCAGGGAGGTTGGGAATCAGCAAAGTCAGGAAAAGAAAGGTAAATCAACAAGTTGTCACACTCAAGAAGTCATGGCTCTTCACCCAAGATGGCCAGTTGGAAATAAATTCCTTGAAGCCAAGTCCATCTTCCTCTCAGTCTACAGTTATCTTTCTTAAATCAGAAGTTTAAACAGGCTGCTGTTTTCAGTCATATTGCTTTTTCAACCACTCTTTTGTCATGCAAAGAAATACTATCAAACTGATTCCCATTCATCAGAAAAGCATGTGACCATCCATCTTCAATAAAGCAGAAGGTAACCTTTAAAAGCTTTGGAGGTCATTCTAAGATTATTGCAAGTCCCTCTCTTTAGAACCACGTGTCTTGGCTAAAGAATACATAGCAATATCATTATAGGTTGTTTACATAGCCTACCAGCTAGGGAATGATATCTCCCCTTTCCTTTGAAAAGAAGTCTCCTAGATTGTAAAGGGCATATTATCACCTGAAATAGATTACAAAAAGGGCTGCTGACAAGAAATGAGTGAATAGTATATCCTACTCACGGGCAAATCTAGAGTTTTGAAAAGGGGGAAAGGGGTGCAGACAGTGTGGTGAATTCTTGCATATAGCACAAGACACATTTTTGTCTAGTTAAAAAGAATCTAGGACCTTACTGATATGCTAGGGGCCTAAAGCTGTAGGTTTTAGTTTAGGATCAAAGCAAACAACTTTATTGCAACATGTATTAATTTGCAGTATCATCTGTTATGTAGGTAAAACACAACAAACTAGGCAAAAATAATCAGAAAATGTTTCATTAGTCCTGTAGTCATTAGAATTAGAAGCATGTATCTCAGCTTCATAAAACAAAATCTAGTCTCCTTGAGCATCTTGACACTACATTTTAGTGCTTCACTGAAAGATATTTCCACACCTGAGTTAACCTTTCTACACTTTGTAGCTAGAGTTTAAACCAGTCTGCAGAGCTGTGATATAGGAGCTACGTTATCAGGAGCCACTAACATATAGCAGAATTACAGAACAAAGGATAGCTTGATTGGTGGAATATCAAGACCATTGAAAAGGAGAGGGTTAACATCTGTAGAATGAAGAATTTAGAAGAAGTGAGAACTCAGATTATAATAAACCACGAAGCCAACTGACTCTGTATCTGCTGCCTGCATAGAAT